AGTCACAACCAAAAGCCTTAAGCATTCAACAACAAAAAAATATAACATTCACACACATTTTGGCTCTTATTTTGTTCATTATTCACACACATCAATAAAAGAATTTTACAATTCAGGCCAACTTTCAATGCACTACAAGTTCATTCAACAAAAAAAAATAAAATATAATAAAAAATTAGAGACTATACCTAATTAAATGTTGGTGGTGGTGCATAAATGAACTGTATAAAAAAAAAACCCAAAAACAAAACCCCAACCCATAGTGAGAAATTAACTTCTCCAAGTTCGCCCATTGCGTGCATACAGTAACCCACAACGAGATGACAAATCTGAGATGATAGTAGAATGGAAGGAAGGGAATTGGTGCAAGAGTGATGTGAATTGTTGAGATTTCAAAAGGAAACCGTGCGTGTGCGTGTCTGTTATGTTTTTTGGGAAAGAAAACTCTCTCTCTCTCTCTCTCTCTTTTTTTTTATGAAGTGATATGGGTATTTTATCTTTCTTGTTTTAAAATAAAACTGAGTTCAAGAGTGCATTTAAAAGTGGGACTAACAGCAGATGGATAGAAGGACGTTTTTCACGATGAAATATGGAAATAAGGGTGAAAATGAAAAAAATTGAAACGTGAAGACGTTTTACACGCCAAAAATCAAGCGTAGGGACATTTTGTGACAATGAGCGCTTATTATACTATGCAAATGGAATTCCATCTTTTGGATCTGAATTGCCCTGCTGTTTCCTTCTTCAATATTCCAGTGGTTGACAATCTAAGCTCACGTGCAACTCTATTATATTTTGTCCTGTTGGTTTTGACCATTACAGATTCATAAGCTTGCTTGCCTGGAAATGCCAGCAAACAATTAATGTTTAATAATAACCACTTACTTACCTACTGCAATTAGGGTTTCAAAATGTAAGAAACAATGTCTGAGAAAACAGCTATTGTTTCCTTTAAGCTGGTACATTTTTTAAATTCAATAAATGTGAGAGACCATATTGCAGCATTGATGTTGCCCTTGTCTTTGATTTTCTTAACAAAACCCCATGAATATAGTATAGGTACAAACAAGCATTTCAGGATGGAAAAGTCAATCTGGCTCGATATCGTTGTTAAAATCTATTGGATATTGACTTTAATTCACACGGATAGATCGTCTTGAGAAAATAATCAAGATGGGTTGGTTGATTCCTGTTTTGATGGAAAGAGTCCATAAAGTTCAAAGTTGATTCGAGAACTAAAAATGTGTTTTTGGACTGTTTGGATTATATCTGAAATGTGTTTTGTCCGATTAGAAGAGTTTTTAAAAGAAGTTGACTCAAAATGATTTCTTCGTGAAGTTTTTTTACAAAAAGCAAAAATTGAAACTTTACCAAACAAGCTTGAGATTGGACTTGTTGAATCCTACTTGAATTGGATTTATCTCCGAATGAGAATGGATAATTTTTCCCTCATTAAAGCTTGTTTGGAAAAAACAAAATCATCAAATTGTTTGAGCCGTCTATGTTGTGTATTGTGTTTAAGATTTATGGGTTGTTATATTTGTATATGAAGTTTACTATTTACAATATCACACTTTTTTATTGCATAAAAAATTTATAATTTTTACTCATTCTCATACTTATTTCACATAGTACATTTGGTCCTTGATGATGGTTCCTATTCAAATGTTGTATTGGCATGCTTTTGAATGAGAGTCACATATGTACAATTTTAACGTTCGTTTTTTTTTTCTTTTTTTGCTTATGTAAAAATAATTTCTTTTATGCTCTCCAAATGAACATTTTGGACGTAAAATCGTTATCAAAAACAAGATTTGTTTATGGCAGGTTAAATATAAGAACCAAACAAAAAAAAGTTAAAAACGTAAGTGTGACAATGAATAAAATTGGAGACTTTTAACACAATTAAAAATTGATGGTAACAAAAGAAAGATACGGCGCCGATATAGTTCCCTCTACTTGTACAACTAGCATAATAAGAATTACCATTCTACCTTATAATATTTAATTATTATGAATTCACTTTTAATGTACATAACAATAATTCAAGGCATGCCTAGATGGTGATTGATTCATTGAAAATTGCTAAGAATTCTGTAAATATGTGGGTGTGGATGTGTTGCAGATATTTACAGACATGAGATAACCTTGCAATTTTTTACCTTGACACAATGTTGGTTGTGTTTGATTCAGTTCCATGGTTTGTCTGTTGGACAAAATGATGCTTCATATATTTTTTTCCTATTTCTCCCTGGTGGGGGAGTGGGAAGGGATGTATTTGATGGATATGGTTGCTCAAAAATACAGAGATCATGCTGGATTCTTGTTTGATTCCTTCATTAAATCTTTGGTTTTGTCTAATACAAAGAACAATCTTGACTTATCCTGTTAGAGTGGTTCTCAAAGAAAATAAAAATGAAAATAACCCACCTGAAATCGAACTACGATGCGAAGTACCTAGCGACGAGATTAAAATAACCTACGGATATAGGGTTTTAGGTTGAGTTGAACATCGTACTTTAACTGCATTCCTTTAAAACGATACATATCTCCCTCACATTGAATACATCAATGTGCGAATCCTTTTCGAGTATTATTGATTACCATCAATTATGTAGCACCAAATAAAGTTTAATGAACGTAACCTTAATCCATCATGTAAGTACTATCAATCTGAGATATGTCCGTAATTTTATTTATTTATTTAAGGATAATTCTACCTAATTTCGTCATTATTGATCTCAATTTTGAGTAACGATAGGTTGTCCATGTCAAACATTTTACATTTCATCACATGAAATACTTCTATATATAGCTCATTAGCGTGTCCCACATTGAATCTGAGTTCACCGAATAATTATCTCGCCATCTAAAAAAGATTCATAAATTTAACTCAATTCCCTTTAAGTTTCACTCCGGCGAATGAGATCTTTTCAAACATGACAGTTAACGTGTTAGCTATAATACAATGCGATTCAATATGTACATTCTTATTATCTATCATTGACGACTAGGACTCAATTTTTAATTTCTCGATAATTATAGATATCTCGGGATTTACAAAATAAACGCGTTTTACCTGTTCCACAGCTGTTTGGCGGTGATAATTCGAGTTTCTCAAGAACGTCCCCCAAAAATAGGAAATTGTTGTTGTCATCAAATATAGTGTAAATTAGAAGCCACTCATTAAAGTACCTCTAAATTAGTAAATGGTTCATATATATATTTTTAAAAATAAATTTAGCTAAGCTACATATAATATTTCTGCATAAACAAGATTCATTGGAAGAAGAACCTTATGTTTAATCAATATTCTAAGACTTCAACGTAAACGGCATTATAAATTTTTACAAATAAACATATTAGAGATCTTGTTCCCTTAATTGAAATTACAGATGTTTTCAGAATATTCTAATGTCTCCACATGTTGATGTACTTCTGCTGATTCCTCAATCCTGCAGACAACCCGGTAATAAATATTAACAAATTTTGTAAACAATTCATGAAATCCAACAAAGGGAACCTTCCATCAAACCACATGGTCATCATATTTTAAATAACCTCTTTCGAATCATTTTGTCCTGTCTGAAAATTTGAATATCTTAGGAGTTGTTATCTTCGTGTTTCAGTTTTGTGTTTTTAATTTTTAATTCATTTTGAGTTTCGTATTTTGAGTGTCCAATTTTGAGATTGTTAAAAATGTTTCATTTTTGTCATTTTAAAAATTGTTTTGAAAACGCATTTTGAAAATGTTGGCTAAATTATAACTGAAAACACCCAAAACGACAAATTTGTTGTTTTTCGTTTTTTTTTTTTGTAAATTTTAAATTTGTTTTCAAAAACGAGTTTTCGAAAATAAAAAAGAGAAAGCGTTTTCACTGTTTTGAAAAATCGAAAACAGAAAATAACGAGAACATGTCCTTATATATTCAAATTATGTCGTTAATACGACTTTCACATACAAACTATCAAAGGTCTATCACGTGTATAATTTTACTGTAATAGTCGACAATGAAAACTGGAGACTTCTGTATGCTATGATACCTACGTTGTCATAGAATAGAAATACCTATTCTTTTTCATTTGTCATGTTTTGAACTAATGTCTCGTCATCTCGTCTAAAAATATAAAAGCAAAAGGTTATTTAAATTTGCGTACTCTAGGGTATCTCAACGTTTCTTTTTAAGTGCGACATTCATGTTTCGGAACTTTTTAATCGGAATCACCCGTGTTCTTGACCTTTTTAACTCGTGTACATAATGTTAAGTGATAAAATTACATATCGAATAAAGATAAAAATATAGATCAATTTATAAAAATTTGGTATCAGAGCCCATCAAATTCCAACAAACAATTCGAGCCGATTAAGACGTAAAAAAAATGAGCACACGAATTTCAAGATTTGTTTGCTCAAACGAGTAACCATCTTGCGAGGTATATTAAATAATAAAATCCAATATTGAACAAAAATGAAAATATAAACCAATTTATAAGGATTTGAGCTATTCCTCTTAATAAAACTGGCCTTTTAAGATGGAACCCCAAGTGTAATAGCTATAATTGTTCAAAAATAATTATCCTCCATTTTGAATGCTATTTTTCTCATGACATGTAACTTTAAAACAACAAGTACTCGAAGTGAACGAAGATTATTTTTCAACAATTATCCCCATCAGTCATGCCTATTGCATGACATTTTGCGACGTTTTCCGTCGAGTGATTGGGACATCATGCCCAAGTTGTTAAAATGATGGAGATATGTGACGGTACAAACTAAAGGTTGGGGACATAAATATAACACTTAAGAAAAATCGGAACCCGTGGAAAACTTACCCTTTAAATTATGTCATCAGCAACCTCTATATATATGAGATTGTAAGGCAATTCCTAAACTACAACATTTGAGAAACACAACAGATCCTATAATCATTCATTAATTCATAATGTCTAGGTTTCTTTTATTATGCTTCATCTTGTCCAGTGAATATCTTCTCCAAACAATGGCTCATGAGCCAGTCTATGCTAAACCTCCGGCTTCAAACGGTATAGCGCAACCACCTACGGCAGCACGTAAACTCGGAAAACACCGCCACACAATCTTGAAGTCTGTTGCTGCACCAAGTTTGAGCCCATCTGAGCTACCAAAAACAAAAGAAAACATGCCGTTTTCAAGAGAAGTTAGTTCCTCCGGCCAAGAGAATGGAACTTCACAAGTGGAGGAGATCAAAATCAGCCACCGCCACCACTCATTTGACAAGTCAGTTGCCGGCGGCGGAGTGATTCTTGGGGGTTTAGCCACTGCATTTTTGGTGGCGGTTTTCTGTTACATCCGGGTTACTGGTAGAAAAAATGCCGACCCCGGTTCTCCTATTAATTGATATATATTATGTACATAGATTGGATACATCAGTACCATCTTTTTAATAGACAGTATAAAGAAAGGGAAAACCCATTTGTACAGTCATTAGAGGGGTGTAAATTTACATTCCTCACACCGCTAAATTTACATCTCTCTAATGATTGTACACATAGCATTGTCCAGAAAGAAATTAGAACAAGTTGGTCCAATCATGTAAATAAAAAAAATATTTATGAAATACACCGGAAAATTGCATCCATGATCTTCATTTTATACTTAAATCGTGAGTTTTTGGTTTTTCATTTGGGTTTTCGTCCAATTTAGTCATTAAATTATCACGTATTTGGTGTTGATAAAGATTTCGTTAAAAGGAGAACAAAAAATATATATTTTTTGAATAATGAATTTTTGGAGATGTGTGGTTAAAAAGAAGGAAAATTTTTTGAGTTTACGTGTAGAATATTTTATTATGTGAAAAAGAGTTTCGAAAAAATGTGAGAGAGACCAGTAACGAAAGAAGAACCTCAAACTGTAATCCAATATTCTCAGACTCCGAAGTAATTGTTCACAAATAGGCATGGTAGAGATCAAGGTCTATTATTTGAAATTCCAGATGTTATTCAATTATTCTAATGTCTCCACGTGTATTTCTCTTGATTTGCAACCCTGTAATAAATAGTAACAAATTGCGTTAAATAATTCTTGAAATCCAACAAGGAGAACCTTCAGTCGAACCGCATGGCTGTGAATAATAATAGAATATTTCTATTCGGCACCAATAGTGCTACAATTCCAGTTCATATAACATTATATGATAAGTTAAATGAAATGTAAAATTAACCGACTCATTTAGACTTTGTCTGGTGGTGATTCTGAAAATCAGAAATTGATTTTTGTAACGTTGGACTCTGACACATGTGACACAAGAGCCCGCAACTTTCTTTCAAATTGTTACCGTTGGCTGGTGCAACGGTCAAAAAAAGAGTTTTAATCCAGCTTTTAAGCCCTTCCAAACAGGCACTTAATTGTACCTTTCATTTACGTGCCATTTAGTGTCATTTAAATTGATGTTGTAGCACCGTTGGTGCTAAATAAGATTACTCTTCATAATATCTTCTTACACGGACTTTTTCCGAAATATTTATGTTTTGATTCCGTGTAGAAATATTCATATTATGACTTAAATTGTAAGAGGTGAACAAAAGCTATTTAAAAAAAATAAAATAAATAAAAATAGTACTTTTGCACGTCTTCACGTGGAGAGCAAATTGTTTTCTCACTAAAATTCCAACATCTTCACAACTTTTCAGAAAATAAATGAGGTGCAAAATTTAAACTCAAGACTCTTACTTGTACGCCATGTGATAAGGTAAAAATCTATCAAACAGACCTAGACGAATCAAGCATTCCTCACCACGATGAATTAGTTACATTAATTATTCTTTTTATTGTTCTCAGAAGGTCTTTTCATGATTCACGATAATATAATAATGCGATTGTAATCAGCTGACAATGGTGTATCAGTTAGGGGTGAGCAAATTGTCAAACCGTAAAATCTAACCGAAACCACAATTTTGAAATCATTAGTTTGGATCCACTTAGACTGTCAACGTTTCGGTTTCAAATTGAATCAAATTGCTTCGAAGCGTTCAATTTAATAGAGTTGACATTTTAAGATGCAATTCTAAATCTTCATAATCCCTAGCGGCAGTAGTCAACAATAGTATCGTTGTTTGTAATTCCATTTAAATCACTAGTAGATATTTGTTACATTCAGAATCATTCACAATCATATTGCAACAATAATCGATGAATTTCCATAAGTGATCATTTGCTACTTTAATATTTTTATTATTGTTCTCGTAAATACCATCTCTTAAACAACCAAGATTTTAATGCCATCTTCTCTACCTCCCTGTCAAGGTTGCCTCCCAAGTTGAAAAATTCTTCCTCCATTACTCCTTGATGTTGTTTCTATGGCAAATTGGCAGAAGCATCAGCCAGTGATGAGTCTTCTTCCTCATACATCAACGGACAAAAGTTTTTTTTTGGCAACAATTAGATTTATCTTCAATAGCATAATGCAGCTTTACTTACAGACACAAGGGAAGGAAATGAGTAATTGAAAGGGTTGAAGAGGACAGAGTTTTTACTATTTTGGGGAACCAACGTTTGATTTGTTGTTTTCAAGTCATTTTCAATTTTGTAAAACTGTTGAGATTTTGACTTTGATCTAAAACTCTTTTAAGAGAGCCCTTAACATTTTTGATTTTGTGTATGGAGGAAGTGTATTGAAGACTTAACAAAACATGAATTGTATACCGGTTAATGCATAGCTTAC